TTACTCTGTTTTTAACAGCTATGTGTAAGCCAATTTAGGAATTTCTAGTGAAAAAATAAACATTTTCAAAAAAATATTGCACCTCTCCCAACCCATTCCCTATTATATTATTAGGTCACTATTACCAATATAGATAGGAGGAAATTTTAAAGGTGCATTGTGTAACCTTTTGGTCAGGGGTCTGTCACCTGCTTGTTTCTATGGATATGTTATTGCTCTACCTGAAATGTTCCACAGTATGACATTTAACAGCTCCCTTAAATGTATTCAATTACAGGTGGTTTAATAGCTCAAAAATACCTAGAAACTCTTTCTGGCTGTGAGTGGGGTTCCCTCTCCACAGACAGACTCTCCACCAGAAAAGTTACACAATGCTTCTTTAAAGAGATTTTCTCATAAAATTTGAATCTGACAACCGTGAAAAGGTCTGCCATAAACAACCATGCACATTTTACTTCACGTTGGCACTATTTTGGACAGGTCTCAGTTCAGAAAGTTCAAATGCTTACGTCAAGCCTGTAGCCTACTGTACCCTGTTCCGCTCCTGCCCCAGCTGTCACCTCCTGGGCCAAAAGCATGTGATAAATGGCCCCCAACTCTCATCCATCATCTTTGATTGGCCCTGATCTGCGCTGTGATTGGCTAATTAGCCTCATCTGTAACCATTATTGCACTGAGAGCCAGCTGCAAAGTTTAAAAAAGTGAATAAGAAAAATAAAGAGGTGAAAAATGACACCGCCGAGCTGTCCTGTCACCTCTAGGCCTCTACACAATACCAGGAATTAGACAGTTAACACCAGAGAAGGGCAGCCACACACTCTGCACCTGAAGAGGGCAAAATACTTCTATGACATGAATCTCAAAGGCAATTATATTCTAAAAATAAATATGTGGCAGAGACAAGAGCAGTTGGGGTTGTGTGTGTGTCGGTGGGTCAATCCACATTTCATCTGGCAACGGTTTCCGCGCTGTTTCGTGCTGGCTTCAGTCGCTAAATACTTATTAGATGTCAGAGGGAAATATATGGTAACTGGGTGGTAACTTCTCACCAAAAAAGGAGCGGGTGAGTGGAGACAGTCTGGTGCAGCGAAGGCCTGGTGGTGACGCGGCTTTTCAACAGAACAAAATACCAAAAGGTTAAGCGGTGGGAGGGGCCCGATATGAGGCAGACAAAAGACTGAGAGAAAGAGTAAGGGGAAGAATATAAAGCCACCAGGTTAAAATCTGCTACTGCTACTGTAGCCAAACTTTCACTGCACAGGAAATAAGTAGTGCAGTCAGATGGGAGGAGGACTAAAGGGGTGTGAGGGACAGGGAAGGGGTGGTATAGTAGAGTTCAGGATATGCAGGTCCCAAAGGATGAAGCATACATACATAAATACAAAAAATACAGCCACAATATGCAAATGTGATATTTAGGGAAATGCATGGAGAAAATATGTTTCAGACTACTAGTATATGCAACATTTTGCCTTTTACTGTCGCAGCACAATAATATATGTCGTTCTTACAAAGCTCCTATGTGGAAGAATAAAGGACTTTTATTTTTGTAATCAGTGTGCCTCAGACATTTTATTCCAGCCCTGTATCACATTTAGTCTTTATCTATAATATTTTGCTTTTATGTATAATATTTTGCTTTAAATTGTTAATCATTATGGCAACTATGGTCATATTTTTTTCCTTATTCTGAAAACCCATGGATATATCAAAATGACAATTTGCTATTTTAAAAAATCTACAAAATATATCATTATTCATTTGATGGAAGCACTGACTTAAGCTACCTCCCTTGACCTGTTGCCTAGGTCATCACACACATATTTTTATAGTTGCTGTTCATCAGTAAAAGTATCAAATTAAAATAGTTTAGCCAAGTTTCAGAAAAGAATGATTTGGTTTGGAGCAGTTTCGACTTAAAGATAGACAATGATAATTAACATAGACATAACCAGATGACAGCTCCGACATAACATTCTTACATTGTCACAACATCAACTCCGAGCACAAAAATGCAGTTCTATTTGATTTAAAACATTATTATTATATGTATTAAATATCATTTTGAATCAATTAAATGTAAATAAGATTACACAAAATCACCACCCGATTTCATGCTAAAAGTCAGTTCCAACTTTCTCTTGGTCGTATAATAATGAACATCTCCATTGAGAACTATGCAGCCGCTGGTCTGTCTGCAGCCTGGGACAGACACCCGATACCTGGCTAAGACGCTGCCCAGCCAGCCGCATGCCTTCAGACAGCATTATAGCAGACACACAGCACACCCCTCCTGCCACCCACAATCCATCCACAACCAATTACAAGCAATTTCCCTGTCCCTGCTTCCCTGGGTGGGGTGGAGAGGCAGAGGGAGGAAAAGCAGTTGTCAGACTCAAGCTGACACACATGGTTCTGTTTACAAATTAAAAGTTGTTTGGTGTCTCCACAGTTACGCAGTGCTGATGCTGCCTGAATGAATCATACCAGAGGATTACAGACAGAGAGATGAGGAGTGGGATGGTTGGGGTAATTGTGTTAGACGGTCAGAGAGGAGGAACGGACATTGAGACTTGATTTATGAATGATGCACAGTGCCCACAAGCACGCGTCTGTTTGCCTTCTTCCTCCACCTACCCCCTCATCTCTCCACCCCAGTCCCCCTCTGCACCTCAGCTTCTGTTTGACTTCCCGAAACCTGCCTTTCCGAAACTGGAGCCCCTCACAGAGGAGGAGTCCGATGCACCAGAACAGGAACGCTGGCCCATTCCCACAGGAAACCTGGAGCGTCTCAACTGATGAGACACCAGACAGGACTGGACCCACACGCTTACAAGTACAGCTAGAAGTATAAGCATACTAAAGACACGGTACAAAACAACTGTAAATGATTAATCAATATATTATTATTAATACAACTGAATTATTTGTATTTCTAAAATGTCTCATATGGAAATATGGCCTTCAACTAGTATTTCAATAACAATACTCAGACGATAACCATTTGTCATACAAAAGAGCAGAAATATCATTTTACACTATAATTTGTGCATTCTTTTTTCAACTGGTTATGCAACATTATTTATTCATTGACAATACACTCAATATTAAAATGTAATTTTTATCTACTAAACAAAATGTTAAAGGTAGCTGTTAACTTGAAAACTGCAGCTTCATGACATCATAAGGCAGAGCAGAGCATTTTGAGCTTTGGCGATGTAGACAGACTAATAACAAAGGATTACTCAAACATGTTTGAAACAAAACACAACTCCAGGTAAGTTTTTGAGGAGGTAACAACATTATGGCTTAAAACTCACAAGATTCAATTTTGCGTAATATAGGACCTTTAAAAAGAGATCTTCATCTGGAGAAAGCAAACTACTCAGCCATTAGTATTAAGAGAAAGCAACTGCGATTACTACAAAAGCCTATTAAACCTTCAAAGTAAAATGCAAAAAGCAAATCTTAATGTTTAGTGATCAACGCTTTTACAAAAGACACATTTCAAACCACATGACAGCCACCACCCAGTCTAACCCAGTGACCCCCATCTTTGTCTCTGAAGTTCAACTGAGCTTCCCCGTGGTAACCTCTTCACCCCGACTCCCATCTCAAAGTGAACGCTCACCAACGCAGCCACCATGGACTCCTAATCACAACACATAACCCGGCAAGGGGGATGCTGTAGGACATGGCAACCCACAGAGCCTTTCATCCTCACAGCCACACACATGTTCCAACCTTAACCTATTGCACACTTTGACGCGTTTGCCTGGAATGTGCACTTCACAGGCAACACACACACACAGTCATGAGAGCATAAACTTCTTCTTTGAACGCCACAACCCCACTGCTTTGTTTCATCTCCCCTCTCTCCTCTCTCTGCTGGCTGCTGGCACCACAACTCCAACACAAACACTGTATTTCTGTCATCGTCTTCGGGACTTGCCGTTCCCTTAATATCTCTTTCTTTCTTGGGATTGGTGAGGAGGGGCGGTGTAGGGGGACTGGAGCGATTTGGGACATGGGTGAGTTGTGGGAAACCAAAGTGTAGACTGTAGCTTCGCAGCATGGAGCTTTACTCTTGCTCCCTTTTCTCTATCTCTGTTTCTCTTCTGGCACTCAATCATAGACCTCATGGCGTTTGCATATTGCGGCCTCGAATGATCTGGGAAAACACGCGCCGCTGATGCTATGTGCGCCTGAGCTTTAGTTTAACTCTTCAATAGGGATGTCATGATTTCAACTTTTAGTGGTATTATCATGAGAAGACAAATGAAGGAGAAAATACAACCCAAAGTTCTTGTAGAGGTGCAGCATCTTAAAAGTGAGAAAATGCAGCCAATGTCACTTTTTTTTCTTAGATAAAAATGTGCCAAAAAGTAATAATAAAAAAAAAAGTCTGAGTGCGCAATGCATTTTCTTAACTTTTATTATTATGAAAAGAAACATAACAATATGACGATTCTTCACACATATTGACACTGTGACCAAACAACAGTGAAATTCTTCATTCTTTTCACCTCAAACAACTAACATGCTATCAAAACAGCCAAAGAGCAGCTTTTACATTATATCTGTACTGAGACAAAACTACTACATGGAAGAAAATTGTTACAGCCCCTTAACACTGACAAAAACAGCTTGATGAAGAGCACATTAGTGTACATTAGTGAAGATTAAGATTGACTTATTGTTTATATAATTGTTTTGCCATTGCATTTGTACTGTATTTATTTATCAAATGCACATGCATATTAAAAGACAAAATAATGTGAAAGAAAAAAAAAATCACTTGTAAATATGTAGAATTGTCGCCAAAGGTAATTTCTATCCATAATCCCCTGCTTGGCTAAATTACTTCCTGTGATTATATTGTGACCAGAATATTCCCAACTATCAATTAAACTCAACATCCCTACTCCCTATATAGCCTATATACTTGGTGTACACCTCTCAGAATGGCTGGAGGACAGTTATGTGTTTGTGTGCCTTACCTCCACATAGTCCTTGGCGTGGCCCCAGTCCCTCTTGGAGTCCAGGTTCCCCAGATGGAAGCTCTCCAGCTGGCCGAGGTGGATCTTTGCCACGGACCGACTGATCTTACGTGTCACAAAATTTGAACCTAAAACACAAAAAGGCTTTGTCAGTAAAAAATAAAATGCTATTACAATATTATATGGATTTACTGAATGTCATAGATCACTTGTTGGGACAAGAAACACCAAAAAACAAATGAAAAGTTTTAAAATACAAAAATAACAGATTTGTTTTCAAACTTAAGGAACGCTGTCTTCAAATATGAAAGTGATCAAGATTTCTGAACTGCTAAATAATGTACAGTTGGTTCCCACTGGTAATAGTATAAGAAAAGACAAGATTTATTATAGGCGAGGACACTGAAAAATGAGAATGCAAGAAGCTAGTGCTGGTTAACAAAGCATAAATAGGCCTACTTAATAGATAAGATAGGGTATGTTTAAATAAAAAAAATAGATAGATAAAAAAAAAGTGGGGGGTGTAGGTTTGAGATGGAGAAAAGTAGCTTAATTTATTTGAATCAATCTCACCTTCCAAACCTCTCTGCTCTTCCAAGTACTAGTTTTCCAAAGCAAAAAACAAATTATAAAGCCATCTTGAATAAAATTACATAGACTTACATTACTAGAACTGTCATTTACCTCAAATCTCTCATTTTTAGTATCAAATTTGAGTTGAAATGTCAAAATATGATTTCAAATGCCAGTGTATAAGGACCACCCTGCTTCCACTGGTGTTGTATGCAGTCCAGAAGCACCGCATAAGCTGCTGTTAAACTCAGCCAAAACTCCTCGCTGTGATCCTAGTTTAAAGCTAACATAGGGGGTGATATTATCAGTAGGAAAACAAATGAGCCTAATGACTATATATGTGTTACTAGTGGGTTACAGACGTTTTTGGGTGTTTTGGCGAAACATTAAAAAGGCAGTGTCATGTTCGGAGTCCCTGCTATGAGCAAAAGGATGCCTGTATCTAGGGCAAAATATAAAGTTCCATATAATGCTTTTTGAAGGCATAACTAATGCACGGAAAATATGCACAGAAAACTTAAACAGTATTTTTAGTTCACAGAGAATGCTTTGAGCAGACCCTGTTGCTCATAGCTGGTAACTAGTGGTAATGCAGCCTCCTGAATTATTAAATAGCAGCACTGCAATTAGCAACACAAACTACAACTTCATGTATAATTTTGAAGAGCTTATAGAACATGGTTAAATGTCCTATATTACACAAAATTGACTCTTGTGAGCTTTAAAATTGTTATAATGTTGTTACCTACTCAAAAGCATAGCTGGAGTTCAGTTTTGTTTCATGCACACATGCTTGAGTAACCCTTTATTATTAGTCTGTACATTTTCATAGCTCAAAATGCTCTGTTCCACTTTGTGATGTAATGAAGTGGTAGTTTTCAAATTAACTGCTACCTTTTACCTTTTGTTCTGCAGAGATGAGCAATTCCAGGGTCGAAATTATCCAAATGATTCTAGTGAAGGTGTACGGAGTTTAAAAACACAGTGGAGCACTGTTTTTGATGAGGAAACAAAATTACAAAATAGTCAAAAAATAGCATAATATGGGTCCTTTACCAGTCCAAAAAAGTTGATTTAGCTTGATAGTGGAGCTTTGTGTCATGTCTGATAGCATGGCTTGATTCAGTAGTTGAGTGGTAGCTAGGACTTACAATAGAACAGCCTCGAAAACAAATGGGGACATATATTTTCAAAGTGTACCGCCAGCATCAAAGACTGGGGTGTCTATTTTAGGGTGTACCCAACATAAATCTCCCACAACTTTTACTGAACCTCTTCAAAACTTCTTGTTCAGCTCAGAAGCTCAGGATGAATGTGTCCTTTGAGTCAATTCAGTCTGCGCCCATCCAGGCCATAACAGCCTAAGCTCATGTCTCGACACTGTATCACTGTTGGTTTGACATGGAGCAGAGTCCGCATTTAGGCACAGGAAAATCCCATGAACCCAATCATGCGAACGCACCAAATTTGTAGTAATTATTTCATAGGAAAGCGACAGTCTTGGGCAGGCTGAGCAAAAACAGAGCCGTGGAGGTTAGACACGCTTGTTTGACAAAATACAGCGTGTTGTGTGTTGGTAGCAAGTTGTAGTCATTGCTTGTCAACACAATGTAAGACCACAGTTTACATGAGGCTCTCTCCACAGTCTCTCCATTTATTTTGGAAAAGAAATAATCTGTCAACTTGTTTTATCATTTTTCATTTTAACTCTCGAGCCAACATAACTGACGTGTTTATTAGGAAATAGCCAGGCCGATGAAGCAGTGATAAAGTGCATTGGAAACCCCCTCTCTTCAGTCAGGCCCATCTCAACTGTCTCTCCAGGGCTCCCATCCTCTAACCTGGCAGGTCATGTGTTTTAACAGGTACCAAACGCTAAAAGTACTCAAATAGAAGCCAGCAATTACTCATCTGAAACTAATGCCTGTATAATTGTCAGCTTTTCCCCCATCCGTGTTAGCCTGGAGCAATGGAATGACACAAGAAAAATTAGGCAAAAAGCCGTGTTTTACCTGAGCTGCCATGTTGTTTAAAACACAACATCACAGCTAGTTTTTTAAAGCAGTTTTTCTCTATATATTCACGGAACCTCTGATTTGGAAATACCCAGTCTATAAAAATCCACTGTGGTATATTATGCAAATTTTAACTTTTTTATAATATGTTGCTATTTACGCTGCAGATGCCTCACGCCAGTCCAGCAACTATGAGTTTGAGTCAGAGAGGTATAATCTTAAAATATATATACCCTTTCACTAGCAAAAAATAAAATTCAAAATTGTTATTTAAATTGTGCAACAGTTTGGATGAAACAATGACAGAATTATACAGCTCCTTGTCAGACCTCAGCAAACTCTGACTCTGAAAAACTCTGGACGAATAGGGTAACAAGACCAACAATTTGTAACTGCAACAACAATCTTTTTATGGCTGTACACTCAAAGGAAAGTGAGATTTTCAGGTTAAACATGGGTTGTCATAACTCTGTAGAGCTGAGCTGGCTCTTAAAAAGGTGGCAGTGAAATACAGTGTACAAGCACAGTCCCAATCAGGCCTACAGTCCATTATTTCCCCTGCACACCTGTAGTGGTCTAGTAAAGCTCGCACCTCTGTTTAGAATGGCACCGTGCCTTGCCTCTTCTAATTGGTGCAGTGCGGACTCCAGCGTGGGCCTAATGGACTGAGCTGCCTGGCCCGGGACAAAGCATACTCTGTTATTGGCTGGGGTGTTAATGTGCTTCCTTTACTGGCAGAGGCACCGCAAGCCAGCCAGAAAGAGCAGGGCGGGGGTGAAGGAGAGAGAGGGGAGGCAAATGGGAGGGGGCTGGAGACATGTTTGGAGCAGTGCTGGGGCAGTGGTGGCCGTTTAACCTTGCCCGCAGCTCAGAGGAAAGTCTAATAAAACCACGGGCCGTGAAAACTGAGCAGACAGCAAAACTCGTGCCAGCAACTGACACTCACTCTCAGTCTCACTTAACTGTTTCTTTCCTTCTTTCCATCAGTGCGTTTCACTTTTGGACAGAGGAGAGACAGGAAAAGAGCAGCACATACTCTTGTACTGTACTGGCACAGCTGGGGTATAGCTGAAAAAGAGGAGCAAAGAACCCATGCAGAGGGGCCAGGTGGAATAGGGGGTCTTTCAGCTACAGGCTCAACTTCAGGATGGACTTTGGTTGTGAGGGATTTTCACTTTACTACTGTGGCAATCTACATGAGATGACTATTACTAATAACTACTTACTCAATGGTTAGTTTGGAGCTGTGTTTCTATAATAGATGACTGCACACACCAATTTTTTGTAACTGGTTGTTCAACATGTTGTAATTATTATTAGATTTAGATAAACTGTATTGATCCACAAGGGAAATAACTTGGACACATCAGCTCATTTTACAATGTAATAACAAAGAGACAAAAATAAATGGTTGTTTGAGCATTATTGTTTGCAACTCCACATTACATTACGCAATGTTTAATACTGAATATGGATGGTTTTGTTCAAAGAAATTGCCCCTTTGGGATGATTAAAGTTCTACTGGCAGATTTATAAATAAACTACACAAACATTGCACAATTATAATTATAAGCTATTGCTTGAGAAGAGTTTGAGCTTTCATATTGTCTTTATTAATGGGCCCCTATTACTATGTTAAAATGCTGTTTCCGCATCACAAACATACCCGGAGTTGTATTTTATTTTATTCATACATGTATAACACCCTGCATATTTAGACTGAGTTCTTCTCTCAAACAGAAAACACTCTGTTCCACCTTGTGATGTCATGTGGCAATACAGACGTGCTTCACAGTGTTTTTAAACTCTATACACCTTCACTAGAATCATTTGCATGATTTCAGCCTTGGATTGCTAATCTCTACTGAACTAAAGGTAAAAGGTAGGTGTTAACTTGAAAACTACTGCCTCATGATATCACCAGGTGGAATAGAGCATTTTGAGCTTTATAGATGTAGAAAGGCAAATAAAGATAAAGAATTACTCAAACATGTGTGAATGAAACAAAACAGAACTCCAGGTATATTTTTGAGAAGGTATCAGCATTCTAACATGGCTTAAAGCTCACAAGAGTCAGTTTTGTGGAATATAGGACCTTTAATATCATCTTTGTTCAGTGCAAACATAGCCAAGTGCTTCTTTGCAAATATATTAACACAAACTGAACTCCCAGTTGTACCCGTCTGGATTCAATGTCTCTAATTTTATCCCTTCACCACATGGATTTCAAGCAGCTTGAGTTTGGTTCAGCACAATCTGCAGACATGTTGTGTGGCCATGACTCGGTCCAAAGAAGAATTAGTTCTGGAAAATCGGAAAATCTGGGTACACTTGACTTATGAATTATACTCCAAGTTTATCAAGTCAATCTCAAGGCTGCTCTTTAAAGTGAACATTACATTACACTCACTTCCTTCCTGGCATGTTCTTTTTTTTCAGCATGTAGACCTATAAATCTGTTCCATAGATGATGTGTAGGGTTCTATAGGTTCTATTCTTTCTTGATAAAAATGTTGACAGACTTGGAAAGCCAGACTACT